AACCACCAACAGTCAGGCTCCGCTGCTGTTCCTCTCCTGGGATGAATCTAGAAGTGGAAAGTTACCCATATCCAAGGGGGGAGGGAGGGGGAGCAAGGTGGAGATGGAGAGAAAGAACAGGTCTGGCCTGACCTGTGTGGCTCAATTGAGTGTCGGCCTATGTATGAGCCACAATTAAATGATACCATAAGAAAGCAATCAGTCAAATCCAGAATATGATATAGTCTATGGCCCAGTTTCTCCTTGACATCAATGGCATGACCAAAAACCAAAACAAAATACTTGAGACTGATCAATGAATGTTTAGATCCTGTCTAAACCAAATCCAATTGTTAAAAAAGGGGCATATTTGAGATAACAGAAAAATCTGATGGTAGACTAGATAGAAGATGATTTAAAGTAATTATTATTAATTTGGGTGGCTGTGATAAAGGCATGGTGATCATGTTTTTGAAAAGTCTCTCACCTAAAGATGTATATCAAAGTATTTAGGTGCAATGTCATAATTGGGTATGCCGGAAACCAATTCCAGCATGACAGGAGGGCTGCATCTGGGAATGGCTGAGGGCATTTCCCCAAACCTGAAAAGGGATTATTGCTTGGCTGCCAGACAGCTAAAGTGCATCTTAATCTACATGTTATTGCCTCCTACTGGCCAAACACCTGAACAGCCGTAGGCTAATTCCCCCATTCTGACAATGGACTCTGTACGAAACCCTGACCCTTTGAAGTGTGTATCTCTGCCGCACCTCAGGACAATTTGTGTTAATAAAAAGCATGGGGTCCTGAGACAAGGAGACCTTTTAGACCTTAGACTTTAAGAACTTAGACCTTAGATCTTAGTTTCCTTTAAGCTAAGCTCCTCTGACTCCCAAATGCCTTTCAAAATTATGCTTCGTCTCTAGACTCTTGATACTGGAACAAGAACCCCAGCATGGGTATTTGCTTTAAAATACTCCAGGAAAAGAATGAGGGGCAAGGAGAGATGGAACATGGTTAGCAAAATGTTGTGTTGTTGAAGCTGTTGCCTTTAGTCCAGCGGTTCTCAACCTGTGGGTCGCGACCCCTTTGGGGGTCGAACGACCCTTTCACAGGGGTCGCCTAAGACCATCGGAAAACACATATATAATTACATATTGTTTTTGTGATTAATCACTATGCTTTAATGATGTTCAATTTGTAACAATGAAATTGGGGGTCACCACAACATGAGGAACTGTATTAAAGGGTTGCGGCATTAGGAAGGTTGAGAACCACTGGTCTAGGAGATCCATCTGCCACCAGAACTACAATTCCCAGCATTCCTGGTGCTCCCCACGCTCTGGGCTTCCTCTTCCCATCCTGGGGCTGCCACCAGAACTACGATTCCCAGAATTTCTGGTGCTCCCCGCGCTCTTGGTTTTCCCTTCCTGCTCTGTCTCCATCCCATGGCCTCCAACTCTGCCAAGTCCTCCCAGCCACCAGCTCTCCCTCTCTGCTCTCCGTCTGGCGGCTTGGGGAGCCAAGTTCCCCACGCCGCTCCACTCTCCACTGGCTCTCCCCCTCTGCTCTCCGCCCGGTGCCGGTGCATGCAAATTAACCCGCCATCTTTGTCTGTTTAATTTGCATACTCACTCCTGATTGGCTGGTGAACGTAGCAGAGGGACGGTCAATTTACATGTTTCTCTTTTATTATAGAGGCTGTTTCTCTCTCCATCTCCCTTCCTCTCTGTGATCAATCACTTATATATTTTTTAAAAAATACTAAAAATGCTCTCTTTTCCCTTCCAAGATGATTACAGAGCCTGGGACCTTCAGAAAAGCCACCTCTACAAACCAGAACAAGCGTACCACCCCCCGACGGTGAGATTCGGGAACCCCACCACCTTCCAGGATGACTACGTGCCCCGGGCCGCCCAGCCCCGGCAGAGCTTCAAACCGGGGGCCGCGGCCCCGCTTTCCACGGCCCCTTTCCACGGCGACACCAGCCACCGCCGGGACTTTGTGCCTTATGAGCTCGAACCCAAGCCTGCGCGGCCGAAACGCCCCTACAAGCCCAGCTCCCAGCCCTTCCAGGGTCTCACCACGCACCGCTGCGCCTTCCGGGGGCTCCTGGGCTCAGCTGCAAAAGCCTGCAGGCTCCCCCG